AACAGAATCCAGAGTGCAGAGCTATTGTTAGAAGTCTAACACATTTCATTAAAAACCATTGAATTTAAGAACAACAGCAAGAGCTAATGTGAATTATGGTAAATTAACTAACAAATGAGAGGTGACAGTATAGATCAGGATGGGCTTGTAATATTTAAGAAATTATCAGCAGGAAATTTCTCCCATTCTCTAACCTTGAGGATGTGAAGTTCAAGTCTATGAGGAGGAGGAGCAGAACTTAGTAACAGCTCAACCTTTGGGCACCTCTTTTGTTCAAGCTACTTAACGGAATTGGCCTTTGATCATTTCCCATCTTCTTCCACTTTTCCCATTTGAAATACATTAGTTGCTATGGAAATGAGGAGGGGAGGGCTCCATCCATTCCTGAAACACAAAACAAAGAGAGTTTAAATGGTGCTTTGGATTACTTAAGGCCATTGCAGGTACTTGTGTGTAATTTGTGCCCCCTTCAAGATGCCTCCCCTAGATGCATTTATGTGTAAAACCTCCCAAAGTGGGCTTACGGTAGGGAGAGAGACACTTGATGAGGGGAGCCCAAGACAGACCTGAATCCTTACAGGCCAACACTCTTGTCATATTACACTCCTTAAATCTCAGGAGGCTGAGTCTGTCTTCCTAGCATTTATTGGCATAAGTGACAGAAGCAACTGAGCTATAACAAGCAGCTGCCAATGGCAACCGAGATGGAGAAAAGATAGAACCGAAAGAAGAGTCATTCCTAAACCAGCTGAGTATCCGGACAGATTAACAATGTTTTAAGGCAAAATGTGACCCAGAAGCCCTCCCTTTGAGATAGTCCAAACCAGGAAAGCAAAATTATGAGTACTGATCTATTATTATAAGATGACAGTAAGCAAATCTTGCAAGTCTTGCCTGCCTTTTATGTTCCAGATGACTAAGGAGAGTCAACTCTGATTGACTCTCAAATTACATACCTGCTTTGAACTCAGATTTCATTTATCAGACAGATCTTCCTCCCAATCTTATTCTCACAGCCCATTACACTTGTCCCTTCTAGTTGAAGAGAGGCCATGCACAACTCAGAGAGATGTTGGTCCACATGAATAAACAATATCAGGTTGAGGGGGCCTTGGTGCTCTCTGAGCTTGATTGTTTTCTTACATAAATAAGCAAGAAAACAACCAAGCTCAGAGAGCACCAAGGACCCCTCAACCTGATATTGTTTATTCATGTGGACCAACATCTCTCTGAGTTGTGCATTGCCTCTCTTCAACTGGAAAGGTTAGGACCCCTCATTTCAACCCTGAGCTATAAATATTATCCTTTATTAATATCAGGTTGGTAGGACAATGTGGTTTCCTCTAAACTCCACATCTCCAGAACAACCAGTATATCTTTAGGGAAAAAATCATCTTCTTACAAATAGCACATATAGTGGTGATGACGGAAAATACGTTAAGCTTTGTGGAACTACAAGCATAATTTCTTTTGAGGATAAATGAGATCACCATGTACATGACAGCAATTACACACCCACACAATTCACCCCTGGAGAGGGACCTGACATGAACAGGACTCTTTAAGTGATATTTTATGGCAATCATGCCTTTAGTGAAAATGCAAATCAGCTCTAACTTTAAAGAAGGGTTGGGAGTAACACGTTCATTTTCATTTTTATTATTATTTCTCTTGTTTTGAGCAGTTTAATTTATTTCACTTTAAAGGACAGCAGAGTTTGCTTTAGTTATAGTTTTACTGTGTTCTGTACATGATGCTGGCTGCAGTAATAACTCACGTACAGGGACTGACTGCAACATTTAGCAGAATCCCCATTTATATCAGGAAGCTTAGCTCTTTTACAGTGCACTCCATAAGCATTCAGAGAAATGCACTTTGGGATGGATTTATGGTTAGTGCTGAAATCTATAATGTACTCAGTTGCTTTGGGATCATTTTCTATTTTACTTTTCCTTAATCTCTAGTAAAAGAATCTCTCTCTCTCTCTCTCTCTCCCCTTGAATTGGAGCGGGGTATATGGAACTGAAAATCAAAGCAATGAAAATAAGTTAAACCTCTTGAGTAGCCGCTCAAAGATCTAAGTTCCACACTAGTGTAAGAGACTCGCTTTTTGATGGGGCTT